GTGGTAGCAACAGGAACACAAATTAAATTTTAAAAAAATTCAACCAATAACATCAGAGCTATGGGAGCAACAAACATAAAACATGACCTGGTCACCCCTCTAAGATAAATGGTACCTCCCATCTTACACCTTTCTACATACCTGTCTTGCACCTGAATGAAGACACCTCCACTGTCCCAAGAATACACCTCCCTCCTTCCTTTCTAGTTCTCAAGAACAACGGAAGGACTTTGAACTAAGACCTAAGAGAGCAGCAAACATAAAACATGTCCTGACCCCCCCCCCCAACAAAAATGGCACATCCCGTCCACACATAAGTACAAATGAGTTACCTGAATGAAGACACCTTCAGTCCCAAGAACAACAACCACCTCCAGTCACTTCTTCTCAAGAACAACTGAAGACCTTCCTAACTTTAAACTTGAACATGAGAGTAAGATTACTCACGATCACAAGACCAGGAAGGCAACTCGACACTCGAACAGTTAGTCAATATTTCCACAGGAACTTGTGCGTGGGGACTCCCCCAGTTTCCTACCACTCAACTTGGGTTTTACCCGTTTGAGGTGGTACTTTTCCCTGATGAAAAGGGCTACCAAAGGGGAAAACATGGGAAATAGAAGGTATTTTATGACATTGTTTTTATCTAGGAAGCTACAAATCAGCACTTGTAAGTAAGAGAACTCAAACACTGCTGGTGTTGTCCTTCCCAGAGTGGAAACAAAGGATGTTTTAACTTTAAGGCGCAACAAGGTTTCCTCTTGTAGTTTGTCTAGGATGATTCAGACCTTGTTCCTTGTATCTGGTGTTTTGCACCATTTAAACTTGTTTCCTTCCTTCAAAAGAAACACAATATGTTTTCCAATATTTCAAGACACAGCAAGGTTTCTACTTGTACGTGGTTTCTCAAAGACGATTCAGCCCTTTTTCCTTGGTGTCTGTTGTTTTGCACCATTTAAACCTGACATATCCTTCCTACCGACCATGTGCCCATGAGTGGGTGTAGTTTTAGTCACGGTTTCGCAGCTCTTAGGAGGAAAAGTTTACCAACATGTCAGAACTTCCTGCCACTTGTAGCATGCCCGTAGCCAGGGGGGGGTTCGGAAGAACCCCCCCACAAGGCTCAAAGGTCCACTTTTTGGTCCACATTTTATGTAGAAAAACTGCTCCCTTTGTCATTGAATAAAAATCTATCTCTGATTTTTTCTTGGAAATCCTCTTGAAAATGGACGAAATGCCATTTTAGAAGGTTCATTTTTCAAAATTTTCCAGGGGAGCATGCCCCCGGAACCCCCTAGGAACCTCGCGCCTTCGGCGCTCGCCTCGCGCCTACGGCGCTCGAGGTCCCCTCAAGCAGTGGGAAGAACCCCCCATTCAAAATCCTGGCTACGGGCACCCCATTCAAAATCCTGGCTACGGGCACCCCATTCAAAATCCTGGCTACGGGCATGTGTAGTAATGGTGTCTGGAGGAGTGATATCCAATGTCTCAACATGTTCACTTGAAAATTGAATAATAATAAGGAAAAGTAAGTTCAACTGATATCTAAATGACGATACTCATACATGTATTTCAAAAGTACAGGTACTATGATACACTTTTGACAAATGATGTTTTGAAACTGTTCATTTCACTTTTGGAAAAAAAAAAACATGGGGGGTTTCCCTGGTACATGATTGATTGAAACTGTATATACAGAGCTATACATTTTGTTTGGCCTTCATTTTGCCAGGGCCAGTTGCAAAAAAAACTTAACTGTTGTCTGGTTCCTATGTTACTAGATGTAGGAAATTTCAACTTCAAAATTCAGCAAGAGAGCATCATAAAAAAAACCAGAAAGCTGGGAGGCAAACTTGTATCTAGCTTGATTCCCTCCCTAAAACTGTTTATAGTAAGATGTAGCACTGTTCTCATCTATCTTTGCTGGTTGATTTGTGACTGAACGACTACGAAATGTGCCCAACAGATTTTTCCGCTGTCTTGTCGTCGTTGAGTTTTTTTGTTCAGCGGACATAAAAGGCCCATGAACCCAGGAGGAGAGGACATTAGGTCGTGAACACAATGTGGCCTGTTTTTCCAGTGTTTTTCCAGTCTGTTGGGTTACGTACCGGCACCACTTACTGAGCTGAGTTATTGTTAGGGTCCTCCAATTAATCCCAGTACTCAAACTTTTGTGCTGTGTTTTTCCAGTCCAGTGGGTCAGTCTTTGCCAAGGAGATGAGAACAAAAAAACTGTTCCACAGAAATTATAGAATTTCCTTCTAGCTCAGAAAACAGATCATTCTGCACCTAAAATGAATTGTTTTTGACAATAACTAGTTCACAGTTCTCTTGTTTGAAGCAAATCTGGTGACAGTTAAATCTAAATCCATTAGTAATCCAGTAAAGACCCTGTTCATACCAGACTTATATTTAGCGGTTTCAACCGGTTTTTCAAAAACCCGGCTAAAACCCTTAGCGTTCATACCAGACTTTTGATAACCGGTTTTGTAAAAATCCTGTCCAGTGAATATCGGCCATGACTGCAGTTTGAATAACCGTTCCTCTCGCTCTTCTGATTGTTTTCCTTGGCCTTCTTGCTTGTATGCCGTCTTCAGTTTTTTTTTTTACCTTAGTGCGGCACTGATCCTTTATCTTCAAGAAATCAGCCTCCTCCAACATTTTTGTTTCGGTAGAGCCCTCGCCCCCCCCCCTAGCTTTTTCGAATTTGGCGACTCCTGCTCTCCAAACCTAAGTATCAGGAGCGTCCCGTTCGCCGACCAGGTTGCGTTTGCTGATTCCATCGCAACATGAAGAAAAACCGTGGAACAACAGTGGAAACGAACTCAAGTTGGTCAAAACAACTCGCTTAAAAAAGCTTGCAGGTCGCACACGGCCAGGATGCTGACCCCGTGACCCCGGAATTATGACGCAAAAAACCGGTTCAATAAACCCTTAGCGTTCAGACCAGGTTTTTCGGTGGAAAAACCCCACAAAAACCCCTCAAAAACCACCTCCCGAGGTGGTTTTTCAAAATCGGATTTAAACCCCTAAAAACCGGTTAATTTGCGTTCACACCAGGTTAAATAAAAACCGGTTTTTGAAAAACCGGTTGAAACCGCTAAATATAAGTCTGGTATGAACAGGGTCAAAGTGGACCACCGGACTAGAAAAAACCTGGCCAGTTCTTACCCCATGTTAGGTTGTCCGCTAGTGTCACGTGTGTTTAAAATACCCTAAGAAGAAACTGACAACTCAAAGAAAAACTACTTGTATCCCCCTGATTTCCCCTTTTCTGCAATCAAAACTGGTGACAAGTTTGCCAAGCATAAGCCAAGCTTCAGCCATGGACCACCGCACTAGAAAAATCCCAGCCAGTATCACCCCACCATGTTCAGCATGTCTCCCACTGTTTTCATGGTTGTTTAATGTTCGTACCTAACGATTATTACCCCACTAAGGAAATCACTGTCTGGGTCCTATGCAAATCTGCACCAGTTTTTCCACCACACACCAACCATTTTTATGTTTCTTCCCTAATCCAGCAAAAACCAACAGTCTTAGCTTTAATGGGCAGAAGTTTACGCTATGTTCAACCTTACATGTCAGATAAACTTAAGTGAGTGTTTACATTATCGCTTTGTATCTGTATCTGTATAGCCAGTATAACTGCCTTTCGGTGTAACACACCAGCTTCGCAGGCACGTGGCGCGGCAGCAGCTGGCTACTTTACACCAATCGACTTGTTACACCTAACCCTTGAACATCTAACTCTAGACATTGTTTAAAGCTATTCAATTGTCTGTAACAATCTTACCTTGTTAACAACAGTTTTAAAGTCTTCAAATCTTCAACACTACAACATGTAAGGTGATGAGCTCAAAGATACAAGATAACATTCAAAATACTTCAATAACTTTCAAGAACAATGTTGAATAGTCCCCTTCACACTTTTAAATGCTATGTGAAATCAAAATCACAGGAAAACATTGTTGCAAACACCCTCCAAACTTCTCTACAGTGCAAACTGAACATCTCAGTGTGTTACAAAATGAAACATGTTGCAAACAGATTGTAACAACACGATTCTGCCACTACAACTTGTTGCCAAACGCTTCCATGTGGGAAATTGCTACTTTCCCACCGGAAAGCATCTCCAACTCTCCAGTCACTAAACAACACAAGTGTAGATACATGTCCATCGCTACAATAAGACTGCAAATTGACACATAGTGTCGGCTTGTTCGCTAATCCTAATGTCTCCTCTATTGTAGCAGTCTAAGGACTTGGACACACAGAAAAGGCTCAGTTACCATGGTGACAAATTACGGCTGCTACAAATCAGCTGCTATGCTTTGTCCAGACTTGCCGCGACCTTATAAAGCAATTGATGTTCAGAAAGAACAAGAATTTTGAAGAAGAAAAGTTTTTCTGGATACATCAGTCCTTGTAGGAGGGATAAAAAGTCAACATAAACATTCAGACACCTGCTTTTCGAGAAATGGAATTAAAAATTTTGACGTGAGAGCAAATGCTTTTTTTTTAAGGAAAAAATGGGATTTTTCATTTGATAAACGGTTTTCAAGGCAATCCACAGTGCAAGTGAGAAGTCTTCACAAGATACTTCTTCCAGAAAAATACTTGGCCTTGTGCAGATGAACATTTTGTTGGTAGAGGACAGTTTTTGCAAACTATTCTTGAAGGATACACAATGCTGCTTACACACTTGACAAAACTGTACAATACGAAGTAACGAACACACAAACATCTTCTCTGTCAACTTACAAGATCACAAGACATTGCAGGGCAATGAAGCAAGGGTGCTCCCCCTCTCCCCTAAATCCTAGCACCTCTCCCAAAATGTTCAAATTTAGGGTTTCCTCTTAGTATTTACATGAAAATTCACAGGTTTTTTATCAAAGATTAGGGAGCACCTCTCTCCTTAGAATTTATCATTTTATGGGGAGACCCCTGCATTAGGAAGCCAGAGAAAAAGAAGAAACCAAGGTGTTTTTCCTTACCTTGAGACTAGACTCGTAGTCGGAGTTGATTTTACACATCAACCCCAGTCGCAGGTGGACCTCGTTGGCCTGCGCGAAGCTGGCGTCGATGTACAACAGCTGCTGAAACGACTTGATCGCCCTGAAACAACACACGGAGCAAAACAGGTAAGTTTTGCACAAAGTAAAGTTATTAACATAAGAGACAAATACATAAGAGACTAGTATTATCGTACTGAAAAACTGACAACAGCAATGAGTTCCAAAACATCAAGGAATCATCATCATTGTCAAGCAAGTATACTTTTTTTGATAAGTTAATCTGCACCTCTACTGGTATCATTGTACAACAATAAGGTTTTGATTTTAAGTTAACTTAGGACACATGGTAAGTAATGAACAATCTGCAGCAAATGCTGGATTACAAGCATGTGTTGAACTTAGTGTATAATATTTTCATTCTGTTTCTTGTAACACAGAATTATACACAAACACACACACACAAACACACACACAGTCACACACACACAGACACACAGTCACACACACACACACACACACACAGTCACAAACACACACACACAAACACACACACAGTCACACACACAGACACACACAAACACACACACACACACACAGTCACACACACACAGACACACACACACACATTTGACTTCAAGTTAAATATTCAGAAGCCACTATAGTATCTGCTTGTTGTAACGCTACCTGTTGCTCCACCCAAGTCTTACATGTGTGTCCAAGTATCTTCTTTCTTACCTATAAGTACCTATCCCCTGTCCTACCCACAAAAGGAAACCCTGTCATACAAGCGGAAATATCCCTACGTCACAAACACACCATATATGGGCAGAACACGCTGCCTTATTAGTCCGTTGGCCGCCGTAGTTTCGTTGGCCGCAAGCTTCCTTATGGGAAAACCCCCTTCTGACGTGAGTCGCTACATATTCATGAGGCTGTAGCGCACGTCAGATCACATCGCTACATTGTGTAAGCATTATCCTGGCACAATACCAGCCTGCCTTATATGGGCACGTCCCTACTGTAGCGGTTGGTGCGTGTAGCGTTAACGTTGCCTTTGCTACAAGGACTTGATGTGTAACAACACTGGCCACCTGCTGGTGATGTCATACATATAGGGTCTTTTGGGTGTCCTTTTGTTCCTTAGCCAAGACTTTACCTTACATGGCAAATTCTTCAAAAGTTTTTTTTCTTGTTCTTTATATAGATCTATTTAAAGGAATTTCATAAGATCCAGATATATTTAAGAAATAATTTGAGGTATGGGTTTGATAAAATTAAAACAGTGTACTAAAAAATAAATAAAGAGCAATCACTAAATGATGATGATGACTAAAATCCCTCAACAACTTGGGAATAATTCATAGATCGTAAATAATACTATGTTAAGTTTCAGGATCTCATATTTTCACCACCATCACCCCTACAAGTTATTAATGGTTTTCCCCCCACATTTGGGAAAGCTCCAAGTCAGAAGAGGTTGAGGTTGTTACCCCGTTTTGGGGACAGTAAAAAAAAATAAAAAAATTATGACCTATCATTGAAATCCCTCAACAACTTGAAAATAATTCCTAAATACCATTTAAAGTTTCATGTTCTCATATTTTCACCATCACCCATTCGAGTCATTAATGGATTGTCCCCCACACATTTGGGAAAGCTCCAAGTCAGAAGAGGTTGAGGTTGTTACCCCGTTTTGGGGACAGTTGCCATAGGCTATAGATGATCAAGGCCACACACATACACACAGGCACAGACAGTACAATGTTTTATGGATGCCAGAGAGATACAGGACTGCCATTATTTCTTCTTCAACTAGCATATTAGCATAGCCTCTACCAGGCTTGGGGAGGCGGCTGGAAGAGTAGAAATTGGCCAAATAGAGAGCATAGCCTCTAGCAGGATTCGGGGGGGAGGGGCTGGAAAGAGTAGTAATCGGCCAAATAGAGAGCATAGCCTCTAACAGGCTTGGGGAGGCGGCTGGAAAAAGTAGAAATCGGCCAAAGAGAGATAAGCATGACAAGGGAGTTTGTCCATTGAGAGAACATTTCACCACACCCCAATGTTCTCTCAACAGACAAACTCCCCTGGCGTGCTTATCTCTCTATTTGGCCGATTTCTACTTTTTCCAGCCGCCTCCCCAAGCCTGGTGGAGGCTAGCATAAGCATACAACATAGTAGTATAGTATACCTAGACTACATTACATACAAAGATGTTGATATTGTTTTCACTTGTCAAAACCTATTACTGTTACAAGAAACATATTATTTCCAGCTTTTCAATGTTGTGGTTGTCACTGAAGCTTTGCCTTGACCATAGAATCAGTAAAATTTAACCAGAGTGTCAAAACAATTACTATAAAATAATTGTTGTAGTACTTTTCTTTAGAACTGAAACATAATTAGGGGCACTTTAGACTGACGACGGTTCGATAGTCGTATGAATGTTTATCGTCAAGATGTTGCCGGCGACGGTATTTTACCACCGTCTAAACACGATCAAAATAGTCGTACGACGGTAATCCTCGAATCGTCGTCACTACCACCTCGGACCCTATCGTGCGATCCTTCAGCGGGGGGTCCGAGGAGGATTTTCCACCGTCTAAAGTGAACCGTCGCCGGCGAAGGAAGTGGGAGGTCATTGGCCTTATGCAAATAAGCCTGCAAGCGTTATTTCATGTCCAAGCACATCGCCTGTATCATTAAATGTCGTCAAACCAAAGACTTTATGTCTAGTACAATCCCCTGCCACCAATCGCTACTTCTCCAGTATGAACCGATCCGCCGATCCACATTTCCCGGCCAATGTAGCCAGGCCAACGGCAGCACCGAACGTCGGGATCAAACCCGGAGAATTGCCCCTCTCGGTACATGTGCCTCATATCCCTTCTTTGCTGGGCACAAACTCGGCTTCTCATCAACAGGACAATGAGTTAAAAGCAGAATAAAAACAATCTACTGCAGCATGCCGAAAAAGGGGTTCTCTCGCCATTTTGAATTGGCGCGCGGCGTGCCATCCTGCGCTGCAGGTGTCCGCCACGCTTTCTGGTCATGTGTCTAAAGCCAGCCGTCGCCCACAACGATTGTCGTGCGATCGTATACCGTCGTCAGTCTAAAGTCGGCCTTAGTTATCACTGATATTCTAGTTATTCTATTTTATATGGTGCACCCAAGAAATTTTTAGTGCACCCAAATTTTTAGGTTGGGAAGTTGTACAAGTTGTAGCAAGTTTCTGGTTTTCCCTAGCCTCCACCAGGCCTTTCTACGGGGATATGGATCGCAGAATTCGGCAAAAAAAGAGAGTAAAATTGGCCAAGGAAGTCCGGCCGCGGGGAGGTAGTTTCTTTCCCAGTCAAACCTACAAGGCAACCAAACTCCCCTGGCAAATATTCTCCTATATATAGCCAGCGTAGTTAGTCTGTTTAGCTTAGCTGTTCCCAAAAATGAATTTCAAGCCCTGATTCTGATAACTCAAGGTCCATCCCCATGATTTCCTGGCCTTGTGGATTTAACTTATGTCTCCTTGTTACACAACCTTCCAGCTGTTCTAGCACAGACATGTCCGTTACTTCACATGTCCTCGCTAACTTCCAGGAAACATCTTGCACAAACAACAACAGGGGAAAACAAGTCAAAATCATCTAGACAAAGCCAAAATCAAAACAAACCATTGCCAAAAAAAAAAATTTCGTCCTGAATGTATTGTATTGTACACTGTTTTGAAATGCGTCAATGAAAAGCGCTCTGCAGGCCAATTTTAGATTCTTATGAATAACCCTGTAGAGACAGAATGGTCCAAACTTTTTTAGTTTATTAGTAATATTACTACGAATTTCTCTTCTAGATACACTTTGAGGGCAGGGAAACCATGAAACTTGCTAGCCTCCGTAGCAGGCTTATAGAACTGGGGGTTTGGTGGTCTTTGGCTGTTTTCTGATTAGCCTCCGTAGCAGGCTTATAGAACTGGGGGTTTGGTGGTCTTTGGCTGTTTTCTGATTAGCCCAGTTCTAAAAAAACGGGGGTAATTCAACCAGGCCGGCTATGTTGTCTATATAGCACATAAACACTCCCAAAGACCCTGAAGACCCCAAACCCCCAATTTTTGGCACGCTTTGGAGGCTAGAAACTTGCCACAACTAGTACAAGCCCTGGACAAAGAGCCATGTGCAGGAATTCCCCGTAGACAAGCCATTTCTTATCTACTACAAACAATGGCAGACTCACTAATTAGTTAGGGGGGAGTGTACATTACATGTGCTTACAGGGGTAGGGGAGCATGTCGACAGAACGTACTGCACCTGCGCGAAACTTATAATGTATTGTGTAAAGCACTTTGGCAGAGCATCTCATATAAGGTTGTATTCGCATATATAAGAATGAGACCCTGTCTAGGGTTTTCAAATGTTGTGTTGGAAAAGATTTTGTCTGCAACAGGCAAAATTCTAATGCAATGTTGACCAGACATATACAACCTAAACTGAGAAAAGTATGGGTTTGGTGCAGGCGCAACTTACATTCTAATGCTGGCTAGGTATGGATAATCTCTGAAAACCTGGGACTGAACAAATATAAACAATGTAAAATCTAAATGGGTTTAGTTGAAGATGAATGTGTATTGGGACATCTGAGAGTTTTAATATTCATACTGTGCAGAATATGAAGATGGAATTAATGACTAGCAATCATTAATATGAGGAGTACAGTGTACATGGTAACAACCTTATTATTAGCCAGCCGTCACACTTCAAAGAAGCCACGTGACAAGCTTCACTGGGTCAGTCTACTGAGGAAGACCAGAGTGACTGGTCAAAGCTCTAGGTGAGATATTTCTTTGTGTTGGATCAGAAGTTTTAACTTTAAACATTAGCAGCCTTCTCAAAAAAATTTAGAGTAGGTGGCTGATAAGAAAAAGTAGCAGGCGAGCCACGAAGTGGCTCGAAGCGAGCCGCGCAGCGCCTCGCAGGGGGAGGGTACGGGAGGGGGGTGGCCCCCCTCCCGTTGGGGGGGTCCGGGGGGCTTCCCCCGGAGGAAATCGTAAAAATTAGACCCCTAAACATCGTTTTTGGGTACATTCTGAGCAGCTTTTATGGCAATCTTGTGGCT